TCCGTGCCTCTTTATGGAAGCCTACAGCAGCACGCGGGTGACAGAAAAGCCCGGACACTAACCAAATGGAGATTACGGCCTTCCCCCACCAAATTTCTATGCGCAAATACCATGTTTTTCCATTGATAGCCTGTTAGTTGTCCATCACCGTCTAGAATAGCCTGGATCCTTTCAGGCATACTAATTACACACTCATTTATGAACTAAGAGGGGGAAGTTTGGGTGTGAAATTGTATGTGGGACGGTCCTTGATATCCTAGCTTAATGCAGGTTAGTGTCCAGGCTTTTCTGTCACCCGCGTGAGCAGCAGGATATTTATCCCACCAGGTTAAGCTATACTACATGTGAATTAGCTGTAAAAGCCTGCAAGGAAGTTACGCCTGTTAACTCCTGGTACGCAAAATGTTAGACAAGCCATTAGTCCCATTTGAGGTTTTGGGCACACCGCAACCGTTGAATTACGCGAATCTTTAGGAAACCCACTAGTCCCGTTTGAGGTTTTGGGCCCACCGCAACCGTTGAATTACGCAAATCTTTAGGAAACCTACTAGTCCCGTTTGAGGTTTTGGGCACACCGCGACCGTTGAATTACGCAAAACTTTAGGAAAGCCACTAGTCCCATTCGAGGTTTTAGGCACACCGCAACCGTTGAATTACGCGAATCTTTAGGAAACCCACTAGTCCCGTTTGAGGTTTTGGGTACACTGCAACCCTAAGGGCTAATTACCGCTGAATCATACCCCTACACCAAAATTTGAGGTATGATTTGGTAAGGCTTACTTAGTTTCATGAGGAAACGCGAAATACTAGGAAATGCGAAATTTTTAAAACCGATAAATCCGGTCCAACACTCAAATGTCTACTTCTCACCAAAATTCTATGGCAACTCCGCACAATAAGGATGAAAAAATCTGGTTCTTCCTTGCTATCAAGGCTTCTATATCGGAGAACTAATTCACCGTTTTCAGGCCTTATCGGTCTACCACTTCGTGAAAATCGTACCTCTACTACCTCTTCTTCTACTACCTCTTCTTCTACTATCTCTTCTTCTACTACCTTACCTCTTCCACCTCTTCCACCTCTTCCACCTCGTCCACCTCGTCTACCGCTTCCACCTCTACCACCGCTTCCATCTCTTCCACCTTGCTGTTGTTGCTGCGGTGGAACCTGCGGTGAAGCCTCCGGGGAGCCTGCGGGGGAGCCTCTGGGGGAGCCTGCGGGGGAGCCTGCGGGGGAGCCTTCGGTACAGCGAAGGACAGTGGTCTTAATAGACCTGGCGTGGGAGGTGTAGTAGCCTTTTTTTTGACTAGACTTCTACCTCTCTTTATATCTTTAAAAATAGCTGGTCCGATATAACAATATTTTCGAAATTCTTATTTAAATTGCTTTGCAGCGAAGTTATCCTTTCGCTATTAAATAATATTAAGATTTATAATTTATACTTCGCTTTAATATATTTATCTACGCTTAATCTTATTCTTTTTTTATTTATCTATCTTAATAAGATTATTATTAATAGTTTTAAATAAGATATTAATAGCGAGAGCTAAGCTAACTACTTTATTAAGCTTTTCTAATATTATAAAATTATAATTTTTAGTCTTTATTTATTAAAGTAGCTAATTAACTTACTTTACATTTATTAATATATAAGATATAAAAATTAAATTATTATTAAATATAATATCTATAAATATATTTAATAACAAACTCGACGATAATTCTAATACTTTAAGTTTAAATCTATTAAGAATAAATTGAAATTAAATTAGAAATAGACTACTCTTTTATTATATATATTTAATATTCTATTCTATAATAACGTTCTTTCTTATTATTTAAATTATTTAAATAAAGTTCGCTTTATTTATTAAGTAGCTACCTCTATACTTTATATTTTTCTCTAGATATTTATAATATATAATCGCTAAAGATAAGAAAAATTTAATATTAAGTAATTAAAGTATATATATAATATAGATAGATAGATATAAGAGAATAATATCGTTATTAATATAAAACTCTATAACTTTAATATTAATATATAATATATATTCGTCGTATATAAGAAGGCGATATCGTTTTCTAATTATCTATCGAGTTTATAATTTAAAGCTTCTATAAGAAGTAAGTTAGACGCTTTTTTAAGAAGTACTTCTCTTATTAAATTTATATAAGAGAATAGCTTACTTAATAAACTAATTTAGATTTAATATATTATTTATTTAGCTAGTTTTACTTATTTTAATTTATATAATTATATTCTCTACGTTATTATATTAAGTTTTTATATAACGCTTATTTTTAAAGATAATAATTAATATAAGAAGCCTTCTATTAGCGAATATATATTCGATAAGAGTTATCTATTCTCTACTCTTATTCTAAGTTTTATATATTTATATATTATATTTAAAGATAACGACTTTTATTCTATTAATAGAACTAAGAGTAGTTTCTTTCTTATTTATATTATACGTATCTTTCTTCTAAATATTATACTTCTAAATTATTAACTTTATAAGTTGAAACTATTATAGTAGTTTTACTAGATTATAAATCATAGATTATTCTTTATTTAATAGCTGATTATATTAATTTTATAGCTCTAGATAACGTTTTAGAAAGCTAATTACTTAATTTATATCTAGCTCTTTATAATCTTTCTTTACTATTAGTATTTTTCTAGCTATATATTAAATAGAGATAACTCTTGAAGATTAATTTTACTTTACTATTTATAAAATCTATAAATTTAGAGCTTACTCCTCTATAGAACTTAATTACTACTTATTCTTATATACTTCTTAATAAGAATAAGTCTTTTTATTAATATATCGGTTAAGAGTAAAATTAGTAAGATTATAATATAATATAATTAATAAGATAGTAGACTTCTTTTTATAAGGCTCTTCGCTAAGCTTATAAATTATAAAGATTTAATTATACTTATCGATTATAAGATCTAGGCGTATCTCTTTAGATAATTTCTTTAAAGTCTTTAGAGAAGTTATAATAAGAAGAAATACGATTTACTCGCTATGTGAAACTATAGATTAATAAGTTCTTTTCTTAGCTCTCTAAATTATCTATTCGATAAATCGATTAATATAGAGAGGCTTATATATATATATCTATTTTAGATTAAGAAGGCTTATAGAAAGACTTATAGAAAGGCTTATAGAAAGACTTATAGAAAGGCTTATAGAAAGGCTTATAGAAAGGTCTATAGAAGACTTATATATATCTATTTTAGATAATAGAAGATACTCGACTTATAATATTAATAGGCTATCGATAGCTCGAATATCGTATTTTTAAACGATTTAAATTTATTCGAAGTCTTTAGAAAGCCCTCTAAAGCCTTATTTTTCTATATTTAGAAATCGATTACTTAGACTCTTATTATTTAACGATTACCTCACGTAAGCCTCACCGAGCACGCTCCCCTTATTACTCTATTTATAAAGAACTTTTAAAGTTATATCGCGTTATTATTCGATTTTATTATTATTATTTAATATTCTATAACGATTTCGTAAATATAATATCTTAAGAAGAAACTTATTTAATATTAATTTAAGAATTAAAGATTACGGCTCGATTCGGCTCGAGAGTACTCGAACTAATAAGAGCGTATTATTCTATAATTTCTTCTTCGCTTAAAGATATGATATCAAATAGTTACTTTATAGCAAAATACGTTTATAACTATTATTTCTTTATTTCTTCACCGAATCTCTTTAAAGTTAAAGTCTTACGATATTATAATATTAGATATTAAGATCGTTATATAAGATATATCGTAATTCCCATTTTATATAACGTTCTAGAGTATTAAAAAAGAAGTTTAAAAGCCTATTTATAAGCAAATTAGTAGAGATCTAGTAAATTCCAGATATATATAAGTGGAAATGGGCTGTAAATTAGAATAAACTATATACTTATAATATAAACTCTCTTACGGTTACGAGAAATCAAATATCAAGTTATTGTTTTTTCATTATTTTCGAAATTATTAAGATATTTAATAGATTTAAATTTATAGTTATACGTCGAGAGACTAGTTACTAATTAGATAATTTATAATATTTTTAATAGATATTCTACTATATTATATAATCTAAATGAAATATCGTATACTATTTAGATATATATATCGCTAGAATAAAAATAGACTATATCTAAGTCTAGAATAGAGATATCTACTATATTAGATCTATAGATAACGACTATAATATCGTAGTATTAGCTATTATAATAGACTATAATAATAGATTATTTAAATAAGTAATAGTAATAGCTATGATAGTAGTAGCCATCTAAGTCGAATTTATCGAATTTAAAAATTTCGCATTTTCTAGTATTTCGCGTTTTCTTATAAAACTAAGTAAGTGCTTAAAGTATAATTTGATAATTTATTAAACTTGTTATAGTAACCTACTTGTAGATGTAGCTAAGTATCTACTTTATATCTATTACCCATCAAGAGTGTAATCTAACTATTTATGCCTATGTAGGCTGAGGGGGCCAAATTTAGCCCACTCGGCTTTCGTCTGATGTATTTAAGCTGGTAGATCACGCATTGCATGCGCTCGGAGATATTCCCTTTTTTCTATGGTCGGATGGCCCAGGTCGCTCCTTTGCGATTTTTACCATGAATGGCAAATTACCGAATCATACCCCAAGTAATGGCAAATTACTGAATCATACCCCTAGGGGTATGATTCGGTAAGGATTCATAGTTTCGGGGTATGAATTAGTAATTAGCCCCAACTTCTAATATTCGAAGACTAAGGCACATCAATGCACCGTCTTTCCGCCAGTGGGTCGTCAGCAACATCTTCAAATGTGAAACATCCACGCAGGTTCTCGAATCTCCTGTCGACATGATAGTGTTGGAGCAATCTACGTTTTGATCATCAAAGTCGATCTCTCAAATGCTTGCGTTTCAAGACACGTTACAACCATTCAACACCCCTCATTCGTTGTGAACAGCGATGCTGCTCTCGGAAGTCCAGTCTTCCTTGCGGCTGCCTGCAGGTGCCGACTTCCATGGTGTGTCGGATCTCAAGCACGGAAAGATGTTGGAGGTCGATGACTGATACTTTTTCCCAAAGTCCACCTCAGAGATGGGCCCATGATGGAACTCGTGGTTCCAACCATCAGAAGAGGCGGAATTGACCTTGTTTACGTGAGTATTCTGAATTCTCCTGAGACCACTCACTTGCTACGACTGGTGGGGTCTCAAGACGTGTCATGGCTGTGCTTGTTGCTCTTCAGACCGATCATACTATCTTTCACTGGCCCAGTGGGGTATTCTAACTGCGGCACCGTCAACAATAGGTAATGCCCAACCTCAACCCTCCCATAACCAACGTTCAGCAATGTCTCGACTACCAAACCCGCCTGCAAGCTATGGAACCGAATGTCAGGTTCCTAATGTCTCTGTAAGCTATACCTTTGACCTTCTTGTTGTTGCCAAACGCCATGAGTTGGTCTCTCCGTTGATCTGACAGCCCTTCCACTGCCCATAAGGCATTGCGCTGATCCTGAGAACATGAAGCTACCTTAACTCCTCAATAACCCCTGCGACTATCTACGAAGCCAAACGTGCAGGCATCGTTGGCGTAAAAATGTATCCAGCAAATGTCACAACGGGGTCTTCCCAAGGTGTCACAGATTACGCCGCCTTCTACCCTGTACTGGCCGAAATGGAAAGGTGACTAGCTTTCGCTCCCAGAAAAGACCCCCTCTGCGATCTCTCGTCGGATCCTACAGCTCCCGTACAGGGCTCACCCAACCTAATGAACCTCGATAATGAGCCGAAGAAGAGTATGCTGACTCGAGAAATCTCCCTCATAGGCAGGATATGATCCTAAATCTTCGTTCGTATGCCCCAAGCTTACCCATCTTAACGGCGCTGGGGAATCGAGCTGTGCCAAGGGCAACCGTGCTGACCGGAGACGCTTGACAATCTAGATGGCGAGTGCCCTTCAGTCGGAGACGTAACAGTCATGTCAGCCGAGTCAGCTTTCCTTCCCATCCTCTCCGATTACCACACGCGCTTCCCCCGTCTCCGCATAGTCCTCGAGCATCTGAGCACCGCCGCCGCCGTCTCCGCCGTAGCAGCTTGCGGCGAAACAGTAGCGGCGAGCATCACATCGCACCACCTCTCTTTGATCGTAGATGATTGGCAGAATGACGTCCACTGCAATTGCAAAGTGGGTATCTCTTCCCTTATACATTCTTCCAGTTGCGGGCATTTTGAGGGTGTGAGACGTGTTCCAAGGGTTCGGCGCCTGTTTGCGACCTGCTCTCCGCTCTTTCGACCATTTCCTCAACTCCCATACGGTCGCAAAGAGGGTATGCTGACTGCGATTCCATGAACAAAGCCAGTCGCTAAGCTCCCGAGCGACCGCGCCGCGCTGCTGAGAGCGGCCATTTCTGGAAACCCCAAGTTTTTCTTCGGCTCTGACAGCGCACCTCACCCAATTGCTGCAAAGAAGGGTGGGGATAAGATTGCTGCAGGGGTATTCACCCAGCCTTACACGACGCAGTCGGTAGTCGATGCGCTCGAGAAGGCCGTTGAATGGGGCGTCTTGAAGGACGAGGACGTCACCGTGGAAAGGCTGAAGGGCTTCATGGGCGACTTCGGGAGAAGATTCTACAAGGTCGAGAGTGAGCCAAGAGGGGAGATCGAACTGAGAAGGGGAGAGGACCGGATCATGGATGTGCTGCAGAATGACGATCAGAGTGTGCAGGTGGTGCCCTTCAGGAGGGGAGAGAAGACATGGGGTTTGTCTTGGGTCCAGTGAGGTGAGCAACGGACCTTGAAGACCAATACACGCATAATCAACGAAGTGTACGAATTTTTTCATAGAAGTCCCCGTTGTAGCTTGAATGTCCTTGCGTTGCAACATCTTCGGAGCATCTGTCAAGCACGACTTCGGCTCTTCAATGGCTGCTGCGTCGGTTATAGACGTTGCCAATTGCAACAGCGCTACTGTCGTACCTTGGCCATGACCCATCCCCTGTGTCCAAACTTCCAGATCGTGCTTCTTTCATAGGCGGAGCACCTCGATATCCCGGACGTGCAAGAACCATTCCCAGTATGCATCACGGCGGTATCTCCTTCTAAAACCCTTCGCAATGGCCGTCAAGCTCTCCAGGTTTTTTCATTCCACCTCTGGAATGGTCGCCGTCTCTTCCACTCGTCGCCTCGCTTCGACTTTGTCCTTTCCTCCGTACGTTGAAGCGGTTGCTCGATTGCGAAAGAACGTCCGGCAAAGCTTACGCCTTCTTGTCACCCATGGGCGCTTGCGGTTTCAGTGCTTGCTTGCAGTGAGCAATCTCGTCAACGGATCTTGCCGATCAAAGCCTTCTACGGACCAACATCAGCACGAAGTGACTCGACATCCACCAGGGCAAGGTGCGCTCACCCGTCTCGTACAGACCATAAGCGCCGATTTCGCCGCGTCGGCACCACGCGAATGGATACGCGATCCCGAAACCACGAAAGAGCTCGTAGACCTGTGGCTTCGGTACGAAAACATCCCTTTTCTGGAGCCATCTCTTACCCCCGCTGCCTAACACGAATCCACTATCGCGCCCAGGCTGGCGGGAGGCCACGCTAAAACCATGTCTAAGCTGTATGCGTTCAGCGCCGCCGTTCGTAGTGTGGTGCAAGATCGTCAGCTCGTTATTACAAACTTCGGCCGTGTTGGCCTCCTGCCTGCCGTTGCGCAGCCTGGGGGTTGTAATGTTTCGCTGGCTGGCACAGGCGTGCCCTTCGTCATGCGACAAACCGGCTGGCTTTGGCCCGGGCGACAGACTTGGTACATCATCGGTGATTGTTGTTTGAACGGTGTCATGTGTGGAGGAATGTTCGGAGCCGGGGATGCCGATCCGTGCGAACCGCTTTGATTGTACATCTTCATTGTTTGAATTCTGAAAGCTGCCAGAAAAGACGAGCGTGCTCAATGATGATCCAAACCCTCAGGTAATTGTTCCTCTCGTCTATCTCGATGAGTGTGTTATTGCTGTGCGTCAATTTTCTTCTAGAGTCCTTATCGCTTGGATCTAGATCTAGCCAATCGAGCCAAGTCTTACCTATCTGGAGATTCCTCACTAGAAGATTTGTCCGGTTAGTGAACTCCTCAGACTTTTCCTTTGACCTGTTTTCCTCGGCGTTCTGCTCCGGAAAATATGTTGTTCAGTTGGTTTATCTCATCGATCGCGGCCTGATCCCTTTGGATACAACGAAAGACTTCCGGTCCCAGGCCGTGTCAGCGCACGAGTATCAACTACGACAAGTGTTGATAGAACGGAGGCGCGGCAGAGCGGACTCTTCCACCGGTTCCTTTGCGCATGTGAGATGGCAGCTTATAAAACCAGCTACTTCGTGAACGCTCTCTCGCTTTAGATACGGGAACACGCTGTACATCCACCTAAGCTTCAATTTCTGTTCAACGCGAGCGAGGTCTCGATATGTTATCACGTGGTGCCATGATATTCATACATAATAGTACATACCCTCTCATGTCTTTGACCTCTTTTGAACAACAGAGAATCCTACCCTTTTGAAGCGCCCGTGGCGGAATGATTCCCAGCTGAGTCGGAGCATCCCAGTACTCCTACAGAACCTGTCCCCGCGTAGCCCACCGTCGGGGTTGTAAACAAAGGCATCGGGGTGCACCCAGTCAACCCGTTGCTGGGCCATGACTAGGGCGGTGCTAATTGCCATAGGGGCTACGAAAAAGAGAGGCTGCTGAGGGCTAATTATTACGGGGGCCGTTTGCCTAGCGCCAGCCCCGCAATGACTCTCACCGTCTTCCGGCGCTATAGTGTCCCGTTTCTAAATACCGGGGGTTCTTCAGGGGTTACCCGGGGGAGAACGAGGAAGCACTTGTCACCTCAAACAGGAAGACATGCTCCCTCGATGACAATGGCAAAGTGACTCGGAAGCCTTCAGTCCCGTGCAAGGATACACGAGATGCGGGTAGGTACCTTACTACTTTTCCATCACCACTGCCGTGGAAAGCCTCCCTTTAGCATCTTTTGGTCTCGGGAGAAATTCCTTCGGCGCCATCTCATCCGCCTGCCATTTCACAGCCTAGCAAGAAAGATAGACTTCTCTGCCGTACGGAGAGCTCGTATCTGCTCGTGATCCAAAATAAATGTTTCTAAGAGGTGCTGGTAGAGGCTAGCATAGGAATGGCGGACTTACGAGGCTTTAGAACGGACTTTGCACGCTCAACGTCCTCGCGGAAAGCCCGTGCCTTTTGCGATATAAATACGAGGTCCCTGCCGAAGGCGTCCGAGTGGGCGTCTCTACGATCTAACGACACCTTCGCTTGCAACGCTAACGCCGACCACCATGTCCTCCTTCCTCAATTTCGTCTGTTCACAAATCTTCGTCGCCCTCCCCTACCCCAAGCAGGACCTCACGGACCAAACCATCATCGTCACTGGCGCTAACACCGGCCTCGGCCTCGAAGCCGCTCGACACTTCACACGTCTCAACGCGTCCAAAGTCATCCTTGGCGTCCGGAGCCTCGACAAGGGCGAAGGAGCCAAGAAGTCCATCGAAGAATCCACGGGGCGCTCGGGCGTCGTGGAAGCATGGCGACTCGACCTGTGCAGCTATGAATCCGTCAAGCAGTTTGCGCAGCGCGCGCAAGGGTTGCAGCGACTGGATGTTGTAGTGGAAAATGCGGGGATCGCGCCCTCCACGTTCGCGATGGCGGAAGACAATGAAAGCATGGTTACGGTCAACGTCATCAGTACTTTCCTGTTGGGTCTGCTGATTCTGCCGAAACTGAGGGAGACGGCGGCGAAGTTCAACGTGCAGCCGCATCTTACGGTTGTTTCGTCAGAGGTGCATATGATGGCGAAGTTCGAAGAGAGGAAGAACCCGGATCTCCTAAAGACGCTTAATGACGAGAACACGACGGACATGGGAGACAGGTAAGACACCGTGATCTCATACCTTCTTTCGTCCGAAAATTCACTCGCGGCTCCTGAAACCGTCACCAGATACCAAGTCTCCAAGCTTCTCCAAGTCTACTGCGCCCGCGAACTCGCCGCCCGTCTCAACAAGACCGGTAACTCCAACGTCATCGTCAACTACCTAAACCCAGGGATGTGCCATTCTTCACTATCGCGGGACGGGCCCTTTTTCCTGGAGGTTCTGAAATTCTTCCTGGCGCGCTCGACGGAATATGGAAGTCGAGCACTCGTGAGTGCTGCGACGGCGGGGGAAGAGACCCAAGGGGCGTACCTTAGCGACTGTCACGTTGCCCAGTGGGTCTTCCTTCCTCGACGGCATTGCTGCGAGGGATTTGCTGATGCGGGGAACAGGCCGGCTCCGATGGTGTTGGATGAGCCCGAGATGCAGCAGAGGGTGTGGGATGAAGTTTCGGCGAAGTTGGAGAGCATTCGGCCAGGAATCATGGCGAGTGTCTAATTTGCGGGTCGGGGTGTGTTGCGATGCTATGGTGGCACTTGGGTTCGCAAGCGGGGGAAACCCCACGGTCCCTGCTCCTTTTGACGACTGCGCGCGTTTGGTACTTCCCTTGCATATCGCACTCGATCTTAGCCCGCAATTACCTTTTAGACTTCCTTTCCTACGCGAACTAATAGCTAAATATTCTCACAGGCGGCTTGGTCGCGTATGAGAATCTGCTTTGCACGTATCTTAGTACTAGTACCGTCTCTATAGCGGCAGCATCTCTGCTGCAGCGGCATTCGTAGTGGTGGCATTTTTGCAAGCAGCTTTGTAGCGGTGAGAAAAGGGCCTTCATATCAATCTCATTTACGCTCTACTCAAGCTCGTTCAAGGTCATGCAAGAAATCAGTCGCGCTATCGCAGTGGGAGATTTCGCAACGTCAACGTATGTCACGACGAGCAGATCGATCTTCGTAGCAAGTTTTCGACTATAAAACCCCCAGCTCATCTTTTTCAGATTGGGATTGCAACGATGCTCATTGTCCAGGGACGTACATACAATCATGAAGAGCATTGTTTCGGAGACCCACTTTGCCAAGCGACTCTTTTTGTTGTGGATCCAGCCTATCTCCAGAGGCTCTCTTGTCACAGCTTTTGAAAAGCATCTAGCAAAGGGTCGAAAACAGATTCATGTTGCTGGAAAAAAGGCTGATTTTCGCTGAGGGGAAAACGGGCGCCAGGATGGATGTCGCACTTACCGGAAGAACGGGAATTCCTGACTGTCGTCGCCCCCGATCTGTACTCCGCAGCTTTTGAAACTACAAAGCTGGGAGCAAGAAGATCAGCGGGAGCTCTGGTGGTCAACACAGCTGCAATAATTAAAATATTCGGGGTCAGACGTGCTCAAGTCTGTGGTAAAGAACCTTGAACATGAGTCTTTGGGATTCATGAAACGGTGTACTTTGCTTTCGCAGCAGACCTTTGCTCATACGGTTCTGCCAGCAACTTGCTAAGCTGAAATATCTCAGAGACAGGAAGAACAGTCTCTACACCCTTGCAGCAACCGCCAAAGACGACCTTCGAAGCACACATCAAGAGCATACAATGAACTCGCTCTCACCAAAAGCGTCCCTTCCGACCAACAGTCTCCTGACGATCTCGCTCCAGCTACTGTTCATGCATCATCATCTCAACATTTTCACGAACCGGTAACCTTTATAACGGCGAAGGCGTAAAGACAGAAAACGTCTTTTTTGCCATCACTTCGGCACATCCGCGCTCAAGCTGGAACCAACAACCAGCAGTAATCGGAGGTTCGTCCGCACACGAAGTAACATTCCCTAGGTGTCAGTATTGGCGATGACATCAAACGCAGCGTTGAACTTGCTCAGGCCGTAATCGTGAAGTCATTTCCGCGGTCTCAAGGCCAGAAACGTTCTGATTCCGCCGGTTGCAACAGAGCTTGTCGACACTGCCAGACTTCTGGGCTTAGACGTAAGGGGCGACAGTGCCAGTAGCGAAATGACAGACGGATGGAGCAACTGGCGTCCAGCCAAACATCTTGAAACAATGCCAAGACCGGGAGACGCATTCAGGACCTGCCTACGACCTTCCGTACTCTCTGACAGCAGCCAAAAGATCCCCATAGCTATGATCCAATGGTCCACCAACCGACGTCTGTCTGTTATCGAATGGGTGTGTGCACGAAAGGGTGTGGACGTCGGTAGGAAGTCAAAAGATAGCACAAGGCTGCGCGGTGAGAAAACACTCCGTGAATGTTGGGTGCGCACTTTTGTACTCATTATGTTTTTGACAGCTCGCGTAGAGCTCTCAATAAGAGCAATCTGGCCATTTTTGGGGTCCTCTCTATTGTTATTGTCGGCTTTTATCGCGTTCGAATACAACATGTGCAGTGCGAGTTTTGAGTGCCACTAGTTGCCAAGACTGAGCGCCCCACGTACTAGCATTTCCTTTAGCGTACGAGTATGTTTTGTTTTCATAGGGCTGGCCCGCGCGATCGGCAATCGGCCCCTCTCTATTCTATGTTGTTGGTATGTACATGTATGCTTCAGTTTTGTCGTATCGATGCTCGTCAGTTTGTGATAACTACAGTATCATATCATCCGAAAACTCTGTCCTCGACACTGGGATTTGACACAAAGACACAACGCCTGAGATGTCCTTGCGAGGGCTGGCCGAGAGTCTGCACTCGAGGACCCCCACGCTGTCGGGCTCTTCAAGCGGCGTGAATCCTGATGCATACTAATACACCATCTAGCCAATCATGGGACCTTTGTCAGAGTTAGTAGCTACTCACTAAAATGGCCAGTCAATTCTTCCCCGCAATGGTCGAATGGTCGACTACTTCTTCACCTGCCATAATTCAATCAACTTCAATCCTTATTTTCCTGGCCCACTCGTCTTCAGCTTCGTCGGCGTGATCCATAGTTATGGCCGCACTCGACTTTCTCCCCGCTTCAGGACTTGGTTGGCTCTTGATTGGGTTCCTTGCTTTCTTCATATCAAAATGTCTTTACCGCTTGACTCTACATCCACTTGCGCACTTCCCTGGCCCTCCACTTGCAGCTCTCACCAGGTTTTATGGCGGCTTCTTTGACTTGAGATCTGATACTTCATATGTCAAGAAGCTGCCAGAGCTGCACGGAAAATATGGTGGCAACCAACCCCCCTGCACGCCCGCCAACCTTCTAATGGTTCATAGGACCAATCGTACGGGTTTGGCCCAACCAACTTAACATCCATGACATGGACGCATACAATCAGTAAATCACTCAACTACTATCTTTCATGCCACAACTAACAGCGTCAGAATTTACAAACCTGGCACAAAATTTAATAAAGAAACCGGTTTCTACCAGTCTTTCCCACCTGCCGATCACTCTATCTTTCAGATTCTAGACACCAAAGAGGCAATGGCGCGCAAGAACATGATGAACCCGTACTTCTCTCAAGAAGCGATTCGTCGCGCAGAGCCTCTGATCCAAAAGTTCACGACTAAATTCCTAACGATCTTGGAGAGGGCAGCACGTGAAGCCAGACCCGTGAACATGAGTTTGGGATTCAAATGCCTTGCAGCGGACACAAACATGAATTTCTCTTTCCAAAGGCCTTTGGGCGCTCTCGATGCGCCGGACTTTGACTTTCCACTTGTGAGAGCGACCGATGCGTCGATAAAGGACGTTCAGTGGGTTCTTTATTTTCCCAAAATGTTCAGATCCTTGTTCGACGCAATAGATTTGCTCCCACAAAAGCTAGTCGATAGGTTCTTTGAACCTTTGGCGCAGATGAAATTGGTCATGAACGTACGCGCGTATCCTCTAAGTCACTCCTTGCCAAGCTAACATTGCCTAGACCTCCCGCGATCGTATTTTAGAACTCAAGAAACGCTCTGCCGTCGATCGGCTTCCGACGGTCTTCGATACCATGCTGAATCCCAACCTCGAAAAGGGCCAGTTCACCCCTTCGCTTGATGAGCTCTCCGCAGACGCGGTGTTTTTGCTTATCGCAGGCACGGATACCACAGCACACAATCTCATAGTGGCAACATACAGCACCCTGACCAATCCCTCCATATTGGCGAGCCTCAAAGCCGAGCTGAGGGAGGCAATGCCCGACAAGGACAGTCTGCTTGACTGGGCGGCCCTGGAGAAGTTACCTTATTTGGTGCAATCCTTCGTTTTAGTCCTACGCTTTTAGGTAGCTGACTTGACAACAGCGCGGCATCATCAAAGAATCCCTACGCTCATCCTCCGGTGCTCCTGGCCATCTCCCACGTGTAGTCCCTCCAACAGGCGCTGTCTTCTGCGGGCGGAAGATACCACCAGGAGTAAGAGGCCTCCTAAAGATCCTGTGAGTTGCAGTTGATTGCTTCGACTAATCAACATTCACACCCAGACTCTCGTATCTTGCTGTAGCCATGTTCACCACACCGACCCGGACATCTTCGAGGACCCCATGGTCTTTCGTCCTGAGCGATGGTTGCAAGATGATGCCACTGAAATGGAAAGGAATCTTCTGAGTTTCTCGCGCGGCTCAAGAATGTGCCCAGGAATGAAGTATGTTGTTTCTCTCGTTGCCAGTAACACATGAATCTTCGTCCTGTTGTACCTCCTGTTTCGAAAGATCCTCAGATGGAGTCGGCAAAGATTCAGCACTGACATCAATAGTCTGGCATACGCTGAGCTCTACCTCACGCTTGCGCACCTGTTTCGCAGATTCGATCTCGAACTATATCAGACTACGCCCGAGGATATGGAATGGAAAGATGTCACGGTGCCTAGAATGAAAGGCCATTTGAAGCTTCTGGTAAAAGAGGTGAAGGATTGAGAACCATCTGACCTGAGTATGAACCCAGACCAGGTGCTTTGAAGCGCGCAAGAGAGGTAACACGACAGGGAAAGATATAATTGAGCGAGTATTGCGATTGGCTTTACCCCGCCCCTTCGAGCCGGGTTCAACTATGCTGCGAATCGTTTCTATACTTCTATCACGACTTATACACGTCGCTCAACTAGCTTCCTTCTCCACAAAATTAAGATATGTTTTAGTACGAGATCTATAAAGCGCGCCGGGGAACAGATTGATTACCTTACCTAACGAGTTCTCCCGGCGCTATTAAGCGAAGTGCTCAACTTTTGGACGCTATAGTACCGATGCAGAAATAGGATCAATGAAGTGATATAGTAGAGTGCTTGTATTGTGTTTCTGTGTTTTGGCTACCTTACTTTATGTTTTGATTAATTGATTACATTATACTATTCTAAAGTCTTACTCTAGTAATCAACTATACGAGTTACGTAATCTATCTAATTCTTTCAACTAATTATATAATCTCAAATAAATAAGACTATATAAGTTATCGTTATAATTCGCGTCTTACTATACTTAATTCTTAGAAAGAGATATACTCTATATCGCTAAAGCTCTTTTATCTTAATTATATTCTTCTTTTTAACTATCTACTCTAGTAAATTCTTATTATTAATCTTTATTAAAGA